CGTGGATTGTAGCCCTCCTGTCAGCCTTGCCAGTGATCCTGAGTGAACTTCCAGGGAAGTTCGTGCCAGTGTTTAATCAACGCAGTCCAATGCAAGTTGTACTCGCAGTACTATAGAAAGTATGTGCATCATCCTTGTGATAGCTTGCGGCAGTGGATTATAGATCTTTAAATTTTCCAAAGTAATTGTAGTTTCAAGACAAAACTCTGTGATGAATGTGCACTGCTGATTTAGTGTTTTAGGTGCTCTATGGGAGACCAAAGTGTCCAGAGTAAACTTAGAAACAAAGATCAAAGAGTGTAGCTGCTTCTAATTACGCTCACAAAACCTGAGTCATTTACATCTGATAGTTAACCACACCATTGCTGTGAAAAGTTGCCAAACATCAACCGAAAACTAAACTGTCTATCACAATCATGTCCGTTTGATAACAAAATCACTTTCTGTTGTAAGGAAACAGACCAAAGGGCTTAGGACAACCTTGAGAAGCAAAGTGACGGCTATGATTAGTTTCAGTGTGATTAGTTTTCAGAGCCAATGTGGCAAAGATTGATTGTAGGGGGAAAAAAAAAATTACAGCTGGTTGTTGGATTGCTGTATTGGAGAATATGAAATTGTTGTGGATCAAATCATTCTAGTTATCAGAGTAAGCTGTCACTTTCAAATAAGTAATGTTCAAGACAGTGGCTTGACAATGGAGCCCAATTAACTAAAGAAATCCTGAGGCAGACAGTGAATGGTATTATATTTTCATGTTTCTGTTAAAATGCAAACAGCATTATAATAAAACCAGTTTAAGGTTCACTCTGCTTTTATGTTAAGAATTAAAATTCCAGTCAAGGAGAAAGACAGAAGTGAAAAAAACAAAGCTGAAGTATATTTTACAGTGTCCAAATGTTGCAATATTTTTGGAAAGCAGTTGTCTTGTATCGAGGTTCGAGGGTATGCAGAACACCTGAAAATTGACACAAGTGCTTCAGAGAACATTGCCAAGTTGTCATGGGCATGTAGACTTTTAAATTGTCATACTTAAGGTAAATACAGTCCCGTGTTTTCGGACACTGAACAGAGAGAAGTAAAAAAAAAATCCTTGCTAACTCTGATTTTTTTTGACAATTGCATTTGAAATAGCCATTTCTATAGGAAAGCAATACGAAGTCTTAGATTATAATGACCATAAAGTAAATATAATTGGAAAAATATATCACCTTTTTTTTTCATTGTGACTGGATCTGCGTTGATCTATAAGGACAGGAAATGCATCAGAGTTTCATGGGTCCAAAAATGTAAGCGATTTCTTGTGCCTATATTGCTGCTATATGCCTATACAGAATTTTTACATACTGTTGTTGCTTGGCAGCTCAGTCGTGCTCCTGATGAGTTCCAGTAGGAGCCAAAAAGTAACGTGCAGGACAAAAATCCATAGGTGAGCCGGGAGCATGACTGATGCTCCCCTACACAGTCAGATTGCATATATAAAGCAGCAGTAGCCATTTATATTTGGAAACCAGTTGGCAGGCGCTCGCCTTCCGTGCTTACTGATTTCAGATTATCAAGGTTAGAAAGGGTTTCATTTGTTTGTTTGTTTTACTGTGTGGGTGCAGACTTGTATCATCCACCTCACATGAAGCTCTCCCAGGTCAGGTCATTAGGCTTTCATGAGGACAGGAGGGACAGAGTTCTTGACTTCTGAGAGTATGATCAGACAGTCTGGGGTATGCAGGTAAGAACAGAGAAACTCGAGTTCTGTTCTCTGATCCTCCTATGTGTTTTATCAAGTGTTACAATGCAGAAATTCTGCGAGTGAGATTGTCGTTCTAAAGGCAACTGAATTTTGGAAAAAAAAAACTTTAAATCAGAAAAGGCTTTACAGTTGCAGCAACAAAACATTGATGGAGCATTTCACACATCAGCATTTGGGCTCTGAACACCAGTGGGGAATGTAGTTTAAGCCTATATGCTTAGCTGAGATATGTCCCTGCTTAGTATGCTGGCTTTTGTTAGTAACCTCCAAGTGTTGCTCACAAATAACTGTAAATTTACCTCTGGGAGACAAGGCATCTGGAAGCTAGGTGCAGTGACTAAGGTCTTTTAAAAATGTAATCGGGGGAGGAAGCAGAGGTAGTTATTTACACTCACCTTCTAGACAACAGCATACTTGTTAAGTCTGTGTGTGTGTGTATATATATCTGCCTGTAAACTTAGTGTATTGGAATTGAATAGGGTGTATAATTTATGCCCCTGAAGTACGTGTTTCTGTACACTTCAAATCACCCTTCCCTGGAACTAGATATTGCAGCCATTAGGATCTCGGCGAACTGTGCTGTTCTCATACAGGTGCAAGGACTGAGCAGCAAAATGTAGCTTTTCCATTGATTTCCTTTATAAGCTCTCTTGAATTCAAAGGTGGAAGATTTCCAACAGCTTAAGTGTACTAGAATTATAGGGTTTGTTTGTCGGTTGTTCTGTAGCATTTTCTTACTGTTTCAAAGGGTATAAGCAGCCATTTTTCTTGGGTCTATCATGAAAACAGTTTATTTGAGTGGAAAATAAGATTCAGCTGTGTAAATGTGTCTTTTTGACCTGTTATTAAAGGGTGAGAGAGTTTTGTATATCCTGGCTTTTTTTTTATTTTTTATTTTAGAATGGATAAGAAGCATTGATAGAGCATATGAAAATGTGATAAAAACTGAGCAATATCTAAAACATTAATTATGTAGGAAAGAGATCTTCATGCTGTGACTGCTGCTGTGAGATGCATAATTGTAGTTAAAAAGCCAAATAGACTTTAAGGCGTGAGTAGGAATGGAGAACTGAAAGAAAGGAGATTGCTGTAGTGTATATCTTCAGTGTTGTGTGCAGTTCCAGTAGCCCCATCTCAAAAATTATATAAAACTTAATAAAATCTGCAGAGAGGGATGGCAAAAAGGACCAGAGTTATGGGATGCCTTTCGTACAAGAAGTGGCCAAGCAGAGTGGGCCACTCTCTGTGGGTTTGTCATGCTGAGCTGCTGGCTGGTCCTTGGGGACAGAACACTGGGTCAGGCAGGTTCTTGCCATGGACCTCAAAGTCAGTCCTTCAGTTCTCAAAGTCCTGGTTTGGTTATTTTGTCAAGAGATGAAGGTAGATGCCTCTATCCCTTTAGTTAAGCCATCCGTTGAATGTAATCTGTAAACGTGGATGCAGAAAAAACCACTTGTGTTGGCAGTTACTGTACAGGAAAGCTCTTGGATAGTGTCGAAGCTGACAGCAGTGGTCAAAAGCATGGTTCTACTTGACTATACATCAATTTCATGCTGCGTGGAATTTAGTCAATTATATTTTTAAAAGTCAAGTCTTTATATCTTTTGCAACCTTAGAGTATTTGAATTTTGTTCTTGATCTAAAACTTCTTCATACACTGAAGAACTCGCTCAGGATATGAAGGTTTAAGTCCTTTCTAAAGGAAATGCTTGTTTAAGATTATTTTAGCAGGAAAAAAAAACCCCACTAAGTTAGCCTTGGACAAATGAGATGCACTGTTTGTTGAGAGCAGTGGTGGTCGGTCTGTCTGCTGTAGCTAAACAGAGCTCTTCAGGACTGCTGCAGTAGTGCTATTTCTAGCATAAACTCAGTATTTTGTTCAGCAAAGGAAGGAGAGATTATGTGATCCTCTCTCTCTCTGCCAGCTAATAGCTTCTGATGCTGGCTTGTTTCAGCTAGGCTCGTCAGGGTGCAGGTCTCATCTATCAGAAATCTGGCAGCAGAGCAGATAATAATAAAAGTGCTGAGGGAAAGGCTGCAGCTTAATAGATATCGAAGAAATCACAGGAAGAGAGACCTTGAAGATCGAGAGGAAAACAGTCTTCAGTTCTTCCTTGCCCCTTGAAGCTGTGTGTTTGTTTTAGGTAACCTTAATACAGGTATCAGGACAGATCACAAATCACTCTAGTTCCCGATAATGCCTTTCACTACAAGCATAAGTCAGGGCAAACCACTGGCAGCAGCCTTTCATAGAGATATGTAGGTGTTGTAGTTAAATGGTTCTGCTGTTAAACAGTTTGTTGCTGTAACTTGGTATGTGTTGCACCAATCTGAGTCTAAATTCGAAATAGGAAGTTCGTATTAAGTATAGCAAAAAATAGTTTATAGGCAGTTGGAAGCTTTCTCCTGCCACGCTTGGAGCTAGCCTGCTGGGCCCAAGTCAATGGTTTCCTGCCATTCACGTGCTGGAGCTGCTCCTGAGGGAGAGCTCATGTGCTCAAGCGACTTCAGTTGGCCTGGTCTGTTGGGTGAGCTGATGGCTGCTAAGGATATTTGTGTATACTGTCCAGGTCTGTATGTATGTACAGATTTCAAATACTGGCCTTTTTTGAGCTACACTATTAAAGACGGATAATATTGTGTTAAGCCAGATTAACACCGATCGTTGTTCCTGTTTGTCTACTGGTATTTACCATTCCTGGCAAAACAGTATTAATGTCTTTGTCTTCCCTATTTTAGGACAGTTATTGGCCGTTAAGTGATTTTAGTTTTATTTTTTTTAATCTTCTGACTAATTAGATGGCCAAAAGTGGTCAGTAAAGCAAGTTTTCTAATGCAGATATCTAGACTTTTAAAAATGTCACCTCTCTGGAAAGCAAATAAAAGCTCAAATCTGCTTGTCATATAGTGTGTTTGTGTTTGGAAACATGGTGTTGTCGGGAGTATCTGCTGTTTGTATTTTGGTGTGGTTTTCTTGGTTTGGTTAGTTTGGTTTTTATTTTGTTTTCCCCTAGCAGTATTTCCCTACCTCAGTGTTAAATTTGTTTGAGGCTGAAATGAAGCATGTAGACAGAATCATAACATCATTTAGGTTGGAAGGGACCTCTTGAGATCACCAAATAGGCCTGATGGGCTTTTGAAGTTGAGGTGTAATAAAACTGCAAAATGAACACCATGTTAACTCTGTGGCTTATTAGTCAATTTTCTTTACTCTCTCATTGTAAATTAATGACGCTTTTTTTTTTTTCTGTTACAGATTGACTATACAGGAACAGAGCCTTCTAGTCCCTGCAACAAGTGTTTAAATGTGTCATGGGACAGCACACCACCTTGTACTTGCACCATCAATTTCACACTGGAACATTCATTTGAGGTATGCTACCCTGTATGCAAAGTGAAATTAGAACAGTTTATATGATTTATTTCATAATTGATAGGAAAGCTGTGTCACTTAAGTCTTTTTTTTTCTATTTTAAAGGATTAGTTCTAGTTTTCTTCTGAACTTGGATCTGATTTTTTGTGTGCCTTTTCAGTAGCAGGGATGAGATGGTTTTTAGTGTCTCTGTTTATCTGAAAGGTTACAACATTAAATGGAATGGTTGTGTTCCACACATTTAGATTTACCATATCTGTCATATAGCTGGCGAGTAGATCAGCTATTCCTGCATGATTTACAAAAACTCAGTTCAACAAAAATTGGAAATATCAGGTAAGTGCTTTCTGACAAATTGGAGGCAAATAACAAGGCTTACGTGCTTGACATCGGACAAGACAGGTGTTGAGATTAGTGCTGGTGAATGTCTTTCTGGAATTTTGTGGGATGTTGGTACTCTTTGACTTCAGGATGCCAGCTTATGGTAGGATAGTGCTCTTACATACTCAGCGTGAAGACAGGCTTGAGGCTCCTACTTCATGAATATTGCTGTAAAGTAAGCACAGAGTTTAAGAGGCTAAAATTTAAACTTTATGATAATTAGTGTGTTCGTATATTTTATTGATCCGTTCTTCCTGTGAATGAAAACCCCTCTTGCCCCATCTTGCTTCTTGCAGAGCAATGTGTTCATGTATTATGGACTTTCCAACTTCTATCAAAACCATCGTCGTTATGTGAAATCTCGAGATGACAGCCAACTAAATGGAGATAACAGTTCACTGCTTGTAGGTATTCATGCTTGGATGTTAATAAGCAGGTTAATAATGAGGTACTAGATTTTTTGCATAACAGAAGGCAACCATAAGGAATTAATATTTTATTTTATTTTTTTACAGAAAATAACTGTAAAATACTGTGAAATTTCATGTCAGTCTTTTCATTAAGTGGACAGCAGTGCAGTACTTCGATCACTTCTCAAATTTGGATAGCTTAAACTCTATTGTTATCTTCAGTCAGTAGTATCTTATCTGTTTCCATTCTGTCTGAAGTTTTTGTTTTCAGTATAAAATAATGTTTGCTTACTTAGCACTTGGTTTGGATATTGCAGCTAAATGCTTCTGGTTTTGTAGACTCTGGTTCGATATTGAACATCAGCGATATTTGAAAATATCAGAACTGCGTATTCTGTTCCAGCCACTGTGTAATGTTTAGAGCCAGCCCTCTCCTCTTCCTAATTTTTATGAGTGAAAAAACAGTTGGGTTCTTGCTCCAGCAAGAATGATTCTCCCTTTTTACTTGTAAACTTTAAAAAAAGGGAGAGTTTCAGGAGGCTATGTCCGTTGACGGACAAAGGCTTTGGAGGAGCTTTTTCTGCTTTAATTTTTGGCATGCTGTTGGAATCCTTATGACCTTTTGCATTTTGTTATGCTTGGTTTCTTGTTATAGTCTTATTTTCTATAACACTGATGCATACTTAAAAAAAAAAAAAACAAACTTTAATGAAGGAATACTTGAGTACTTCATGTTGGAAAAGTTTCTATTAAAAGATAAAAAAGTTCTAATGGCTTCCAAAAACAGCCTTAGTTTTAGTACGATTATGATGGGATTCTGACTTTATTCGGGTTTTGTTTAGATTTTTATTCCTGCTTGTAAAAGCAAAATGAATCATGCTAACTGGTATGGAATGCTGAAATATTTGTAGATACCCTGATTTGTGAAAAGATTATTTTGTGGTGCATTTAAGATGTGCACATTATTGAGGTACTGTAGTAAAAAACAGATTAGTTGGATGAACTAGCACAGACTCATTTGCATCTTTTCTTTCTATCAGAATCCAAGTAAGGAATGTGAGCCTTACCGCACAAATGAGGACAAACCCATTGCCCCTTGTGGAGCTATTGCCAACAGTATGTTTAATGGTATGGTAACACTTTCAAGTGATCACTTAGATGTTTTTGTGATTTAGTGTATGTTTTGTCTTGTTTCGCAAAATACTCTGAATACAGACATCATGGGCTTTTTTGTTTTGAATGAACACGTTTTTACTGTTCAGAATAAAATAAGTATCTTGTGTTGTACTGCTGTTGCTTTTTTCAAAACTGCTATCAGAATTAATTTAATCTGATAGCGTACAAAAGATGGGAATACCTGTTGTGAGAAGCTGTTAGTGCTGTGGTGTAGACATAAAGATATCATATATGGATAATACGCTGCTATCTCATACATTGATTCTTACTGAACAGCTTGTGATTGTGGCAAGCAGGTAACAAATGCCTTGTCCAGTTTTTTGTTTTGTTTCTCATGGAGATAATTGTTTCATTGCCTATCAGGATCATCTGTCTAAGCAAAGTTTCTCTAGCTGGTTTTCTAATTTGACTTTCTCCTTAGATACACTGGAATTATACCGCATTGATAATGACACAAGGACTCCTATTACTTTGATTAAAAAAGGCATTGCGTGGTGGACAGATAAAAATGTAAAGTTCAGGAATCCTACAGGAGATGGAAATAACTTAACTGCGCTTTTCCAAGGTAAAAAAAAAAAAGATGTGCAGTTTTAAAACACTTCAAACGCGTTTTGTTTCCAGTGAGTTTTACTGCACTGACAACGTTTTAGTGAACATGCTAATTAAAAATATTGTGGTTCTCCGAAGAAATCCAAGCTAAGGACTACTCAGCTCTCTAGTAAGGCTGTCTTTAAATAATGAAAGCTGCAAATTTCATGTGAAAGTGTTTGGGTTTTACCTTTACTGTAATCATTGATTTTTTTTTTTTCCAATTTCTGATTTTTTTTTTTTTTCCCATCTTGAATACTGAGAAAAGCCTAGTATCTGCACTACTGTCATGGTGTAAGCCCGACTGGCAACTAAGCACCACGCAGCTGCTCACTGACAATGCCCCTGCCCAGTGGGATGGGAAAGAGAATTGGAAGGGTAAAAGTGAGAAAGCTCATGAGTTGAGATAAATACAATTTAATAACTAATAAAACACATTGCAAGGAAAAAAAAAAACGCACACAACAAAGAGAGAGGAAAATAAAAACCAAGAAAAACAAGTGATGCAAAGGAAAACAATTGCTCTCCACCGGACAAGTCCCTGAGCAGCGGCAGCCTCTGCCTACCTCTGCCCACCCAGTTTTATTGCTGAGCACAATGTTGTGTGGTCTGGAATATCCCTTTGGTCACTTGGGGTCGGCCGTCCCAGCTGTGTCCCCTCCCAGCCTCTTGCACGCCCCCAGCCTCCTCGCTGGTGGGGCAGTCTGAGGAGCAGAAAAGACCTTGAGGCTGCGTAAGCACTGCTTAGCAATAAGTGAAACATCAGCGTGCTATCAACAGTGTTTTAATCACAAATCCAAAACGTATCAGGATACAAGCTACTGTGAAGAAATTTAACTCTATCCCAGCCAAAAATCAGTAAAACTACTATGATGCTTGGATTTAACTTGAGAAGAAATCCTGTAGTTGTTTAATAAAACTCTTAATGTGGAGTTTTCATTTAAATGTTTCTGCTGGTAGATTGTGCAAAGTTTCTAAAACCTTGATTCTTTTTTTGTGATTAGAAGTGACAGATTTCTTTCATTTGTTAGGTTAAATACAGTTTGATAAATGAAAGTTTTCTGTGGCTACCAATGTCTGAAAAGAATCTTCCTCAGGGCTCTAAGGTGTGCCCGTGTTTATGCAAGGTAGATAATAATTTCAGGTTTAACCTGATGTGGGTTTCTGGCTTACTCACAGCCAAATTACATGTTAAGGATGCGATGCTACCCTTGGAAAAGCAGATACCTTACCCTAATGCAGTGTAGAATCGTATTTCCAGTAAAATCAGCAAAAGCATTAGTATGGCATCATCTGAAATATTGTACATAATTTTTAGTTGCTCGTGGTCCAGGAAGTGGTAGTCAGACTAACAAGTGAGCAGAGGAGCTATCATCATAATGGAGAACTATCTCACTGAGATAATGTTTTGAGACAAGACTTCCTAGCTATATAAATGTGTAGGGGAGGCAAATTTGTTTAAACAAATGGACAGTGCTGGCACGAGGGTAGATGGATGTGCAGTACTATTGAAACTGCAAAATAAAAAGTTCTTAAACAGCCCAGTGTCCTGCAACAGTAGTGAGCCAACCTATCTGTTCGTAAGCTTGAGAAGTTAGTATGGTTTTTTTGAATATTAGAGTGAATTTTGATAAGCCAGTGTGTTACTTAGTCCTGTATTTGAATTACTTTATTGTTACCATTTTTGTTTAATCCTAGGCACAACAAAACCTGTAAACTGGCCAAAGCCAGTGTATATGCTGGACTCGGAGCCTGACAACAACGGCTTTATCAATGAAGACTTCATTGTGTGGATGCGCACTGCTGCTCTGCCAACATTTCGCAAGCTGTATCGTCTCATTGAAAGGAAGAATAACTTACAGCCTACCTTACAGGCTGGAAAATATTCTTTGGATATCGCATACAGTATCCTTTGAAAACGGCTAAGGATCTTAGCTGGATTACATGGGCATATATTTGTGCAAATTCAAACTGAACTATCCTTTTTTTCTTTCCATCTCTAAAGAAACAGATGGGATTAAGCTGTGGTTGAAAACTGGTAGCGAGAATTGGGTAGAATAATTACCATCTTGTACTTCTGTGCAAGTTTTTATAGAATTAACTTGCGTGTGGCCTGTTGGAACACAAAATCCAGTCCAGTTTTTAAGCTTCATAAGTGAAATGACTGGGTTAGACTTACACTCATTAATGTAATGCAGTTTTAATCATAACATTCTTAAGCTATTTTGTAGTTCATATAAAACTGTATTTTTAAACCAGGATGAAAACATTCAGTTAAGTTAAAAAAAAAAAAAAAAAAAAAAGAAAAAATCAACTCTTTAGAGGAGGCCTTTGTGAGGAGGTAACAGAGATGTTAGTCCTAGGGAAGATTTCAGTGTAGAATTTACCCAGTAGGCAACTTCTGGAAGACACTATTGTCTTCTCTGTACACTTAACTTGAATTGTCATAGGTGTGTGGTCAGTCTCATTTACCTTTTTCTCGCATGTCTTCTTCATGTTTATGGGTACTTGCAGTCCCCAATAGCTGCCTCATGTGGGACAGAGGCTAAAGTCTATGGACGGGAGCGTTTTCATCTGATAATTTTTGGGCAGATTGCCTGCATTTTGGCTGACAGGAAGATACTTAAGTGTAGTTCAGGTGATGCTTAGCCTTCAGGTGAGCTGATAAGCCTTCTTGAAATCTGTTAAATGGCCTAAGTAACAGTGTTTGCAAAATACTATATATGGGCACACTTTATTTACCCATAGGTGGACGATGTGGCCAGTTTGCAGTGTGCATCAGCGTATGCACCACTAGTTATTTGATGCTTTCCTATGGGCTCTTAGTTACTGCTTTGACACTGAAAGGTATTGACTATCTGGGAGAGACATTTTTCATGGGTGCAGGAATTAAGTCATTCAGGAGTTTGGGGCCTGCTTTGGGTCCTTCTGTGGCTCCATGTATTGTTGTCCGATTATTCTCTATTTGTAGACTTGCTCCAGAACAGCCTGCTCTGCTGTGCAATTACTCAAATCTGTGTATAAAATTAAATTAGTAGCTTCATAGAGAGAGGGAAATCAGGTTGCTTGGGGTGCTGTAAAGGACTTGACAGAAGCATAGGAAAAAGGAAAGAACAGAGGTAGTTGGTAGCCTAGAAATTTGAGAACTTTAACTTCAGGGTCCAATGACAATATGTAATCAAGGGCAGACTGACTTTGGAGGTCAGAAAAATGCCAGAGCTGTGGATCAGGTAGGGAGGTCTGTCGTTTTGTTTTGGACAAACTAAAGACTAGGTAGACATGCAGGAGACTAGAAGAGGAGGGTTGTCATAGTTACAGAATTATTAAAATTCAAAAGCACTTAATGATCATTTTTAAATAGCTACTGCAGTATTTTTCTTTGCTGCAAAACTGGGGGAGTGCACATAAAACTAGATGAACATAAAGTCACTAAGAAAAATGTTGTACTAAAATATATTCAAGAATTAAAATTTAGATATCTCTCAATTCATTCAAGCTGCTTTCAAAAACTCACAAAATCTTGCGTTTGCTCATCCCTTAAAAAGGAGTTAACATCTAATGTGGCTATTTGCACTTCCAATATTCAAAGGCAGCAGTTTGTATTTGGAACCTGAGTGAAATGATCCAAAATTTTAATGTGCTAGACCACATAAAGCTAGATTTGGAAATGCGCTTCTTGTTTTCCTATATTTTTTTTTTTCAGATTATCCTGTACACAGTTTTGATGGACGAAAAAGGATGATCCTAAGCACCATCTCGTGGATGGGAGGCAAAAATCCCTTTCTGGGAATTGCTTACATCACTGTTGGGTCCATATGCTTCTTCTTAGGAGTTGTATTGCTGATCATCCATCACAAGTACGGAAATCGAAACACTAGTGCAGACATTCCCAATTAATCTTGCATTCTGAAAACAAATGTCCTGCATGTGCATCAAGGCCAGTCCAGAACAGACCCAGTTTTTGAAAAATAAGTCTCTGCTTCTGTCATTTCTGAGACTGGGTAGCTAATTTTTATCTAAAGCTCCCCTTTCCCATACTGTGGATTAACTCTTAAAAATGACGGGTATACAATTAGCTACATTGATTGTATCTCTGCCCACGTCAGAAACAGTTTTTCTGGTATTTGGCTCTAACTGGGCAGGCCACACAATGCCTATAGTTCCTGTTCCCTTGATGCATCTGCTGCTTGTTCTTGTGCTGTGTAACGTCGGTGTGATTCAGTACATGGAGATTGTGTGGAGAAAGGCTGTTAGAAGATTCTGTAAATCCTTAACTTTCTGGAATTTGGGTGTCAGTGCTGTTGAAAGGAAAAGTCAAGTCTTAAATGTTTTTCCAATTTACTGTCTCGTGTGCATGGGCTCTTACATTTCTTGCTGAGATTTTAATATATTTATATGAGTTGTTAAATATTGTTCCTGCGTCCTACCCACCTCTGTTACGTTAAATCCTTGAAGTGCTGTGTAAATTTCAGCACACTGGGTTCTTTGTATATTTACAGTATACGTGCCTGGCCAGTAAACTAACATCCTATGAAGATATCAGAAAACCTATTTGTTAGTTATCTGCGTGAGTCCCTTTTAAAGTTTCTTCTAAATTGGGAAATGTTTGTTGCAGGTAGAATCTACTTTTTTTTTTTTCCTAATTTGCTTTAAGTCACATCCAGTACTAGTTTACCTGTTGAGCTTGCTGGTTTTACTTTTCATGAGCAGCTTCAAGCATTAATCAAGAACCTAAAATGTTTTTTCCATTCACAAATGTGGGTGAATTCGTTTTACTGGAGGAGTTTCCCAATTTTCTTGAGGCATATGTATTCTCAGCAGGCTTTGTTGTAAAGGAATTGTCATATACTTTTTCCTTATTTGGAGTAAACACCACGTTAAATTTTTGCGGTGTTAAGATAGTGAACTATAGAAATTCAGCAGCTGAGAGGGCAGTAACCTCTTTTCGTTGAAATGCAGGTTGAGCTTGCTGTGAAACCTAATTTAAATATTGCAGTTAGAAGCAATGTGCGGGTTAGTGTCTTAAATCAAATTACAGAAGGCTTCACTTTTAAGTTAATTAAGAGTTAACTGTAACCTGTAAGATACTACTTTTTGGTGACTTTTTTTTTTTAGATGATGCACAGAAATTGTAATGTATATGGTGGAGATCACTTTATATGCAACTGGCTTGATAAAGTATTGAGTATATTAAAAAAGACCTAATAAATTCTGCAAATCATTTAATAGGAGATTTTATTTTGTTCTTGGAACACACATTTATTTTCATCTGCATGAAAAGACGTATTCTTATTAAGTGTGAATGCAGTTTAACTTGTATTTCTGGGATTGCATATCTGTTACAAAAACTTGTTTATTCATGGTCCAATAGCATAATCTATAGCCAGCTTTAAACAGCACTTAATTTATAAACACATGATCATTTTTACTGAGCTATTTGTGTGATCTTTTTAAGCTAACAGTTTAAGTGTTTTAAGGCTGTATAGACTGTGGAATGAGGCTATGTTTCCAGTGTGCTGGCTTTCTGTAACTCCATATAATAATTTGCATAGTACAGTGTGGCAGCAGAGGACTTTAAATAGTCCAAAGTTGTTCAGATTTTTATTTACAGTGTTGTATCTGTATTGCTGGAATTATAGAACGAGGGTATGTACCGTTGGTGTAGTGCAAGGCAGAAAACTCACACAAACTGTTAAAATGACTTTCAGCTGTAGAGTAGTTACTAGTCCAAAATGTAATAAGCAAGTAAAGGGACATCTTCCAGTTACCAGTTATTAAAATATTTTGATTTTTAAACTTTGTGTTTGTCACTTGCAATGCAAATACCTTCTGCTTCCCTATCTTTTTCCAAGTAGGAAATGTTGCTTCTTGGGCCGTGTTCAAAATTAAAAACAAAGTATTTTTCTATCTTTACCTTAGAATATTTTCAGTGCTTTACGTTTTTTTTTTTTTACTTACTATAGCTGTCATTAATTCTTTAATCTTCTCAATGAAGTGCACCGTTTCTGTTATAATTACACTTTTTCTCTGAGAGCCTGTAGCAGTAAATTTTTGCCAGGCAGTGTGCCTGAGAAGCTTAAAATATGCTTATAAGAGCTTAAAATATTAGGTCAAATTTGTAAACTCTTCCTTTACTCATGCTTGTTCATCTTGATGTCATGTTGATAACTATGGAGATACTTGGATTTTGTATTTCTTACAAGTTGCCCATATGTCACATGTTCAAAGATCAGACCACAGTGTCCCTCTCTGACGCTTCTCAGGGCAGTGTCACTGTCCTGGTGTTCAGTGTCACGAGCTGAATTTGGATTTGGCTGCCTGTGACCTGGTTCCTCAGTGGCATCCTTCAGAGGTATTCACTGCCAGGGTTCAGAAATACGAGGAGCAAGGCCTCTGCTTTTTGAGGGCCAGTTTGGCAATTTCCAGGTCTTACCCAATTGAGGCAGTGCCCAAAGTGAGAGAGATCATAAACTTTCTGAAGGCTGCTATTACAAGGGTTTGCTTATGAATGAATCGTTCCTGGAGAGAGTAATTTGGGAAACTAGGATACGTCCCTGTCTTATGCAAGAGCTCTCCAAACAAATTGTCTTGTGTGAGACCAAGTTCCTTGTGGTTTCTTGTAAAAAATCTACATCCCTGTAACAAAGCAGATTGTCTCCTCAGGTATTTTTTTTTAACTGCATCAGGCTATTTGGGGAGCTGTCGATTGTGCTTTGCTGAGTCACAGGGAAGAGTTACCAGCTTATAACTGGAATGTGAAGGATCCTTCACAGCCTTTGCCTCCCAAAGTCACACTGGTATTGAAACGACATTCTCAGCAGCATGGTTTTGCTTTAATTATGAATGATAAACCTTGAAGAATGCAAGCCTTGTCCATTTTTATAGAAGTCTCTGTGGGAGGAAAGGACATGATGATCTAGGGTCAAGTAACATCTGCAAGCGTTGAATCCATCAAATAGAGCAATAAATGTGGTTGGCATTTGGATTGGATTCACAGGAAGCATTACTGACCACCTTGCCCTAACTTGCAGTGAGAAAAATAAGGGTTGCAACATCTGTAGGCAGACAGATGTCCAAGGCTTGGTTGAAGTGAGTGTCTGGTGGAAAAATGTGACTCAGTCTAAAGCAGAATGTACCTACAGGTAGTTTAAAAAAAAGTTACTGATAGCAATGGAACTGCTGAAGATAAAGAACAAGGTGTAACCATAGAGTAATCTGGAAGCACTGCAAATGATTCTGATCTTCAAAATTCCCATGACAAGAATATGGTTTCTGATATTGCCTTGTGAGCTACCCTTGGTACTCCAGAAGTTTGTTTTCTATAGAAGTTCAATATTTGTGTTACCTGGGGTTGTTCCTGTAACTGACCTAACTAGCTATGGTGAGTTAGAAATGAAGAGGGCAACAACACGGAGGCCTTCAGAAAGGTCTGCAATATCAATCCTAAAATCAAGCTGCCCCCATGAGGGTTTTGTAATGACCTAGTCAATAAGTTTAAAAAAAAAACAAAACAAAAACAAAAAAAACCCAAACACAAGAAAACCCAACACCCCAAAATGTTCCACATATCAAATACTTGTTCCTATTGAACAGCCTGCCAAAAATACTTATGTTCAAAGTAGGAGAAAAAAAATGGAAATCTAAGCCAATTTTATTCCTGCTCTCCCCTTAGCAACGTGACTAGTATATGGAGGAGACTGCTTCTAGCAGTGTGAAAAGGGACTCTGAGGTAGAAATCCCAGTTGCAAGAAGATCATTTTTTTTTTTATTAGTAAATTTTCCTCAGATCAGCAGAAGTATTTTCATGTAAAAACATGCTATGTTCCAGCTCACAGAATCTCTTCTGATCACCCTATTGCCTTCGATGCCTAAATGTGAAGCCTAATCTTATTTGGCAGTTTCAATTAAGACTAAAGTCCATTACGAAATGGCCTGATAAGAATTACCAGGTTCTTATGTGACCCGAGTCTCAAATAAGAAGCTACTTTCCTGTAAGCCTCTCATTCCAAAAGTGCTCAACCTGTGTTTGAAAATGAAGTAATACTGTCCATCATTTGAGTTACACCAACAGCTGCCAGAAAACCTGAACTTGGAAAATTACGTTTCTCATTTCCTGTTGGAAATGGAATGAAGAGGAATAAAAGTGTAAGTCAATAATTAATGAAGCTCAAGAAGCTTTTTTTAAAAAAATAAAATTCAAAGAAAGTAGATGGAGTTCTTTCTCACTGGACTCTGATTTCAGATAAAGACGACATAAAAGAAGCAATTCAAACAAACTGAATACCAGAGTTTTGTTCAAGTCTAATTGAATTTGCACGTGAGCGAGGGGATTGTGCTCAAATTTTGCAAAATGTTGGGATGCTTTAAGTAGTATTAGAGGGCCAGGAATGTAATCAGTGACCTCATTCATTCTGTTACGAAAATGAGAAAGATTGGACTGTGATATTCTTGGAAGAAATGAAAATGATTGTCTCCAGGCTTGCCTACAGAGGTCTGGAGTTGAATGGTTGAAGCTAGTGTATGCTTCACAACAGATGCTTGTCAACTTTGGAACAAATCTTTGTTCTGTCAGCAAGTTCTTTTAATGCAAAGTAACTTGGAAAATGGCTATGCTAGGATAGAATAGTGTGTTTTTTCTCTTCACACACGATGTAACTTTTAACTGAGTCAATTATTTTGTTTGCAAGAAAAAAAAAATAAACCAGTGGGCAGGTGAGATTCAGGAGGAGGGTTAAAAAATTGTCATTTTCAGCTGTCCTGCTGCACCAGGGGTTTACACTTGGGCAGAATCTTAACTCAGTTGTTTGTGTGATCTTTTTATCAGAGTTTACATTCATTTCTGTTATTGTTTTAAAAGGTAAATCATTATTTTGTGATGAATGCTTATTAACATCTAGATTAGCAGCCCTGTTTTCATTCTGGCTTAAACAAAACTGTTTAACAGTTTTATTATTCTTCAATACAACACATGCAAAAGTTACTCTATCCTGTTAGGAAAAAGTCTGAGTTTGCTTCTAGTGAAATATCCTCACCTCAAGGTGGCAAGTTGTCATTTCTCTTTCCCTTGAATTTTCATTTCTTCATAAACTAGTTAACACTGAAGACACCAGCTGTGCTTGCTCTGAGCAGTCATCGTATAGCTTTGATTAGTATGTAACCCACTTGCTCAGCACTAAGTGTGGCCTTTTTGATGTAAATTGTATTTTGACAGACAACAGCACTGAAGCTCAGATGTATCAGGAAATGGTCCACACAGGAGAAATTAAGCAATAATAATTCCTCTAGGGATTATGATCCTTTTACCAGTATCTAAATACAACTGAGTGTATAAAAATCAGAATACAAATATTATATGCACTCATAAGATGAAAGATTGCAAGAGGAATGAATGGAAGTCTATCTTGCAGGAGTAGTAATGTATTCTGTTATTCTGTAATAGCACTGCTCGAGTGTTTGAAAACTGTTA